CTTCTCCACACTTCATCTCACCAAAAGTTGCAAAAGTCGGCTGAGAGTACAGAGGCTTGTCTCGTGAAACGATTATCCGCGCATGTCACAGCATGGACCAATCGCATTTGAACGCCACTACAATTCTGAATTGAACTAGAAGGCGTAACGGCACATCACAAAATATCAAGAAACGCGGAGTTTGGTTTTTTGCATTGGCCACGTCACACCATCATGCTCGACGCCCGCATAGACCTGTCCTCCCCGTTCTCGCCGAAAGGAAACATTTTCAAAGTCCAGTCTGATGCATATAGGAGAACATGAATCAAAAAACTCCAAAAAGACCTTTCCTCAAGTGAAAAAGAAATACATTTCAAAACGACTCACCCTCCTTGTCACTCAACGGCCATTTGCTGGAATCATAAAACTGCGATCTTCTCACAAACGAAAACGGTTGAATTTGCATGTCTCCATATAGAGGAACAACTTCAAGTGACTGAAAAGTTACAAAATGATGCATCTATATGTATATTTGATCAATCCAGTCTGCTTATTTGTTTGTTTGTCACAAACTTCGTTATTTTTCGAGGAATAACCGGGAGAGAATGGGTCCGGTTTGGGATGTATAGAGCCATGGGTCAGTATGTCCGAAGCATGCGAAGAACGCCCATGGTGGGCGCCCCTTGATGTACAAGGCCGAAAGCATAATTTGTATTTCATTTCAGACAGCCAGTGATCAGGAAAAGGTAGGCATCGAGTTGTCAAGTAGAATGAGAGATGCACCTATGGTGGATGAAGCGTTGTCTAAAAGGGTGGCTTGCTAAAAAATATCCGGCATTTAGAAAAGCTTACGAAACAGAAATGAACTGGTGGAGAAGAAGCAATGTCTAATTGTAAGGTGCACGAAGCAAACTTTAAATGAGCGGAGACCACCCGCAATGGGCTGGATTTGCCGTGTAACAGCACAACTCGGTCCTGAGATGTCCTCAAGACTTGGAAAAGAGTGAACTGAGCGCATGGAGGGGCAATGAAGTGCTATAAAGTGGGATTTGCGCAGAGGTGGGTGAAGCTGAGTCAGAGATCAGTCC